AGCAACTGAAGCGGGAACACAGACGACCAGCAATCTATGATGCAGATATCAACACAAACATTGCGAAATTTCTTGTGAAAGTAAGGATGTCAAATGAAATGTGTGTAATGACATGTGAGGACATAGTAGCTAAGTGTATAATTGAACATGAGGGTCAGTTATATGTGATGAAAATGCCTGTGTTTGAGCAGAGTTAAATTTATGCAGGCTAAAACCAGCCTCAAAATTCATCCACACAGTTGGATTGAGGAAAACAATGTATAAAGGATATAAATGTGTCTGTGTATTTATGTGTCTATACTAAAATTCAGCTAAACAGTTTATTGGCGACTATCTCTTGTGTGTATATAAATCGATAAACAGGACTTCTTTATTGCAATATTGTTCTTTTTATATGATTATTGCATTACTCGGATACGGTACCAGTTCCATTGTAGGAACAGGTGAACATGAGATGACAAGACAATAATTTGTGTGTTGTGTACATTTTATATTGTGTAGGCCAACCTTTATAAATTTTGTATTCCGATATTGGTAGCTAAACTCACTGATAATTGGGAAAGCTTTTACACTGTATTCCTAATAAATTTGTGTATGCAAGTTGGGTTTTGGGTGTTTCTGTACGCTATTGCTAATATTTAAGTAAACACCACATTGTAGTTCTGTATGAGCGGAGCTGTCTCATTTAAAACAACACTGAGAACATATTTATCTTATATGAGAATATCAAGTGTAATTATTGAATAGGAGGGTTTTTTGTTGCAAAGATCTGTTGAGAAAGAGAAAATATTTTACTAGAAGTGAAACTAAAAATACTAAAAGTAGCAATATACTAACCAAAAGCTATATGCCCTGCTTTCAAAATTTTACATAGGTATAAGAGCATAAACTTTGTTAGTAAAATAGTATAGTTAAAGTATCTAAAGTAAAACTACTGAGCTACTTAAGTAGCACAGTGGGTCATCCTAGATGTTGCTTGAGCCCCCTTCAACCAGTTACTATAGTACTTGTGTGAGTTTTAAATTTTCAAAAATACTCAGTGTGGTTTGTTTTAATTTTTATTATTTGCCCATGTAATCATATTGAATGGAGCACAAGAAATAAAATGAATAACAAAGACAAAATGACGGCATACTGCTTGGTAAATATTACTAAAAAAGAAGGAATCACTCAAAAAGACACCCAGTTTGTCAAAATGATTTACACTGGTACTAACATAGTACACTCCAGACATTACCATATCGGTACCATGGGGCATGGGAGTAATTATCCCAATTCCATCATTAAATGTGAGGTACTGTGGTAAGATCCAAGGTACTGCAGTATGTACCATGATTATATCTGAGGTTCTATGATATGTACCATGATTATATCTGAGGTTCTATGATATGTACCATGATTATATCTGAGGTTCTATGATATGTACCATGGTTATATCTGAGGTTCTATAATATGTACCATGGTTATATCTGAGGTTCTATAATATGTACCATGATTATATCTGAGGTTCTATGATATGTACCATGATTATATCTGAGGTTCTATGATATGTACCATAGTAACATCTGCAGTACCATACTATGTACCATGGTAAATCTGAGGTACTATAGCATGTACCATGGTACTACTATGGTATACCATGGTATGTACTATAGTTTACCATGGTAAACTTTCTTATGGGACGACATGCCGGTCATGTCATCACTGGTCAGATTTGGCAGGGGTCCAGAGAAAACTACGGTGTCCGACATTGTTTTTGCATATGTACACACCGACTCAACATTAATCTTAGTGACCTCCGATTGGCGTAACCGGGAGTCATTACCGCCGACGTGAATAACAATCTACTGTATTTACGTTTATCCTTAGCCAGCAGTTTCAAATAAGACTCCATGTCGCCCGCTCTGGCCCAGGGATGCACTTAACTATGGCCGCTGGCTCTCGCTAACTTCACGTTTCTCAAAATGGAGCTGCCAATGATCAGAGTTGGTTTCTCAGCAGGTGTGTCGCTGAGTGGGGAAAATCTGTTAGAAACGTGAACAGGTTGATGATGCCCCGTGGACTTTGAATGCTTACGACTATTCCTCCTTCGGACAGTCACCCAGCCCCCCTCCTGGCTGCTCAGGAGATCCCGGAGGACGGCTACCAGAGGCTAACTCAGGCCGTTCCGCACAGACTACCGGGGACTGGCTAGTTACAGTAGCTAAAGACTGATCTACCAAGGTGCGCAGCCGGACTTCTAAATCACTGAGCCTCGCCTCCATGTCTAAAAATAAACTACACTTATTACACATACCATTACCGCTAAATGAGGCAGAGGAGTAACTGAACATCTGACACACCGAGCAGGAAAGTAGGAGAGAGAGAGGGAGAAGGAGAAGCCATCGCTAGCTGCTAAGCTAAAGTACTGTAGCGTCAGCTACCAAACTTTAGAACAAGTATGAGATTGAACAGCAGTCACTAAAAGATGGAAAGAACTGTGAGTGCTTAGGCTGTGTTTTTTAGCGGACAGTTGGCTGCTGTAATCTAACAAATGTAACTGTTATTTAGCGAGAGCAGCACAACACGGTACCAACACACAAGCACCGGAAACGGAATGAGTCGACACGCTTTCCGCAGTATGTCAGCCAGGTGACCCAGGTGAACACTCACCTGGTCACAGTTACAGAGTTACAGACTATATTAAAATAATCCAGTTTGATGCGTTCATTTAGATCGAATTATGGCCGTTAATGACATCTATAGATGCAGACTTTATTATTCCCATCACGAAGGGCAATTTATTTGAGAAGCAAATAGTGAACTGCATCCTGTATGCAGACTTGCATGTACAAATCACCAGCAGTAAATATTGTGCTAGTACTAATATTGAACTACAAGAAGCCAGACACTGGCAAGCCTTTAATTAGAGTTATGTAAAGCTTTTGATGGGACAGTTAGGTCCTAGAGAAGTGGTGACAACAGCTGCGCAGAGGGGTCCAATTTCAGTTTTTTGTCATGTTGCCCAAAATTCCTGGCGGCCCCCCTGGTCCCTGCCATAAATAAAACGGTAAGTGTGTGTGTGTTAAAAAAATATATAAAAATTAAATAAAAAAATGAAACAGTAACGTGTGTGTATTTATTAATATGCAGTCCGTTTCCCCTAAATCCCACCGTATCTGCTGATATTTCAGTCATGTGATTCAGTAACAGGCTGGTTAACACTTGAAAATAAGTATCACAAAGCAACATTTGAAAAATATACAGGGGTTCTTGCATTCTGTTTTTTCTTTTTCTTCTACTGCTTTAAGAGTCCTTGAATTTGAATTTATTTTAAAAAGATTTATCTATTTTCATATATCTGTGGAACAGAGATTTTTCCAGCTAAGTCTGGTCCAACACTCCATAAAATGTATTAATGTTATTGACCACATCCGCCATGTTATTAAAATTCTTTTCATTATCATACTGCGGATAATTAGCCTGTCTAGTGCTTCTAATAATATTCCAAAGACATTTAATATAATTTTCATTGTTATCTTATGGTTTACTATAGTATTCTCTCTTACAAGTTCTCATAATATGAACCTATTTTTATATTTCTATATTTATTTTCTGCTTTTTTGTATAATAAATTCTATGTAAAGTGTATTTTTCTTTTTACAGGCATTTAGTAATCCTGTATTGTGATTTATGTCATTTATTAAAAGGCTTCAGACTTTCCTCTTTGATAAAGCTTATAGTTAGGGCTGGCTCAGGTGAGTCCTGAACCATCCCTTAGTTATGCTGCTATAGGCCTTGACTGCCGGGGGATTTCCCATGATGCACTGAGCTCCTCTCTCCTCTACTTTCTCTCCCTCTGTATGCAACCTCATCCCATTATTGCATGTTACTAACTCGACTCTCCCCTAGTCCTGTGCTTTCTCATCCCTCTCCTCCTATCACTTTCTGCAGATGTGTCTGGCTCTGGAGCCGTGGAGACTGGATCTGTTGTTTCGGGGCACCAGCTGCCAGCTGTGTGACTGCTCGACACCCTCTACTACAATTTAACTTCTCAGAGTGAAATGTATTTTTTACTGCATCACATCTGACGTCTTTAGCTATGTGGTGTCCGAAACAATAATGCTGCGATGATGTGTTGAGAAGAAATCCGCTTGACACTGTTCTTGATCATAATAGTTTATTAAATCAAGGAGTCCAGCATCAATTACAAGCTCTGCAGCAGCTTGGAGAGAGACCCAGCCCGATGGCCACTCTGTCTCATGTACATCAAACAGCTTATATAGGATATGTTTAGGTATCTGTTAGATACCATAGAAGGGTTTGAGTCTGCAAAATAAAAGGTCAAACCCATAGAAGGGTACAGTGCTATTCTGAGGTAACAAAACAAGGGGTCAGAGGTCAAATTCTATAGAAGGGTTCAGTCCCTACATAACCACCAATCACTACTCTCCCCTTAGGAGGTCACTGACCTCTGTCCTGCTGCTACAGTGCTATTTTACACCACAGTTACTAATTAATAATTAACATGTTCCGCACAAAACATGTGAATAGTTTAAGAAAGTAACACAGAACACATCAAAACAGCGAGCAGAAATATTACACTACAATATTACAACACAAGGAAGGAGGACTAGAGGGTTTAATCAGGTTTATTCAGAATCCTATTGTTATTTAAAGAGGGTATTCTGCTCATTTTCAGGTTCAAAATCTTATTTAGAGGTTTTACCAGAGCAGGTTTACATGGTTATATTTTCTTACTGCACATTGCTGCAGCTCCTCTTTTCACCCTGTGTTGAAGGCTTCATTTTAGCTATGGAGTGAAGCATCTTGTCTCTAAATGATCTTTGTTGGGAGTTGCACATGCTCAGTTCCTAGTTAAGGACTACTAGCCAATCAGAAGCAGAGAAGGGCGGGTCAGCGAGAAGCCGGTAAACAGCTCGGGTTCAGCTGTACATGTTGCCGACCAGCTTAGCAACATGGACTGGAGCAAGAGTTTCAGAGTGGTGAGTTATTAATCCGTAACAAAAGTATCTTTCATCCATAAAGTTTTAACTGAGCTCTGTCTCTACATCACAGGAAAAACTTTATGTCCACTGACTGCCTGGAGGGTAGCTAGTGTTTGGAAGGGAGAGGAGAGCTTCACAGTTTCCCGGTTCCACTTGATCCCTGTGTGCCAACAGAAGAAGAAACCTGTTAAAACTTTCTGTGTTCATGTAGTTTTGCAGCGCTGTAAAAATGAGGAACTAAAGTAGAAGCACTGAAATATGATGGTTGATGACAGGAGACATTTTGCATTACAGCATAGGTGTCATTTACACTGGGGGACGCTGGGGACATGTCCCCATCACCTTTTGAAAGCATTTGTTAAAAATGTTCTGAAAATACCAAAAAAGCTGCACTGTCCAAAAAAAGGAACTTAAGCCGCTTTATATTCTGTTCTATTTTTATATCTATCAATTGTTACCTGTCATCTGAATTTTTTGTTTCCCTTTATTTAAATAAAGACATTTCCACCACAAATTGGAGCAGAAAATGTCTCCAGTTTCAAGTTTTTCCATTCAACATGGGGAACAAAGCACGAGACGAGTGCCACTTTTCTACTTGTTATAACCCACATTATGGTGGATTACACTGATCTCCCCGTCCTCTGTAACAGGCTCCCAGACCAACCAGTAAGAGTCACTGGTGCATTGACAAAGACTTCCAGGAGGGAACACTGATTGTACTGAGCAAACATAAAGCAGGCTCCAAGGATCCGGCACTGTGTGGTGTTAAAAGAGTGTTTCCTCTGCAGCACGTCTTATATTTCTCATTCTGGTTAATCATTTGTTTACATTGTTAGCAGCATGCTTTAATGTCATGCCCTGATCTAGCTGTGCCACCCAACCACGTCTAATGTTTTCCCATAATGTTTCGCTGTGTGTGAGTGTGTGTAGAACCAAATCACCTCATCACGCTCTACCCATCATTCCATAATCAATCCCCACCTTCTTCGTCACCTGATCATCTGTTCACTTCCAGTGGTACACTCGCTACAGCCTCATTCTGTTTGTTTTCCTCAAGGACATTCAGCACCTGGAATTTCCCCGTGTTCATAGTATTTACGAGTAAATCACTGAAGATTTCCAGTTTTACAACCAAACATTAACCTTAATTTCCAGGGAAAACACCTAAAATAACACACCCAAATGAATCAGTAATAACTTCTCAACCATTTGGCCTTGAATTCTGGTCTCCCTTGAAAAGTCAGAAGCTAAGGAATATGAATCAGCTGTAAATGAACCTATTACTGAGTAAATGGAGCGAATGTCCATGTTTTGGCCATATTTACATGATCACTTTTATTGGGAGTTTTCTTCAAACTATTTCTCTCCATACAACCACATTCTAAATACCAAAGCATCAAAAACATTGAATCAATTGTATCAACATACTGAGGCAAATTGTTTGATATATTGTATGTCTGTGTAACTCCTGCGGGTCGGCCAGTAGACGACAATAAAGACCTCAGTTTCAAAGCAACTCTCCTTCTGTCCTTCATTTGGACCGGAAAAATGAAACCTAACAGCTCAGAGATCCTGCAATACCAAGATGGCAGCCCGGGCGATATTTTCACACACAGAAAACAGCTGTTTTTGGACTGAAAATGGCAAATGTAAGTCAGCGGTTTTAACTGTATATGTATCTTGGTGAATCTTGAAAGATTATTATGAGAACAACTTCATCATTTAATCACATTTTATTACATTTTTCTAAGTCTGCTCTGCTGCTCATTACTTGCTCTGTTATGATAGTAGGCTACCTTCAGGCACAACACATTTGGCACTGCATGGATGAGACCCATAAAAAATGTAACTGAAAACACTTGTGATCAGCAAGAATCTCACCAAAAAGCAGCTCTGTGCAGCTCATAGTCCCAAACAGAGCAAGACTGCGCTTCAGTTTTTACATTTTATATTGCAAAACTCTAACTGCTAAGTTATACTCTGTCAAAAACTTAATGTGACTTACACTGCAGTATGACGCACACCAAGACAAGCGCGATGACAACAGCAAGGGCGACGTAACACCAGAAAGCAGAACAAGATTCGATGATGAATGAATCAGCTGAAAAGATAAAAAAACAGAACAGAATTATATTTATATAAAACTAGACCTCATATGTTTGACAAAACAAGTCCTCCAACTTCAGCAGTGGCACTACGAAAAAGTAGCACACGCATTCTGTTGGTATTCGCGTGATTGTTCATAAACAAAAAACTAAACTATTGGAGTTTCCATTAGCTAAAAGACAAACATAATTAATCTGTGTCTTGCTAACATGCATGACTCATGCAAACTCATGCATCAGGCAAGGAGGGCATTAAGAGAGGACACAAAGAGATCAAAGCTGCAAAGCTCCACAGCGGAGATTGGAGGTCTAAAGGACACTCCACAGAGCTGGGCTTTACGGAAGCAAAGCAATTCTTTAAAGAAAGAAACAAGGACACACGTGTGGTGTCATCACCCCTAGAACACCAGCCCCACAGTGAAGCATCGTGGTGGCAGCATCATTCTGCGGGGATGGTTTTCATTGGCAGGGACTGAGAAACTGGTCAGAATTTAAGGAATGATGGATGGCGCTAAACACAGGGAATGTCTTGAGGTGAAACCCGTTTCAGTCTGCCAGAGATTTCAGGTCCACATTCCAGCAGGACAGTGACCCTTAAGCTGATGATACACAACTTCTAGAGCAATCGTGCAGGGCAACATTGTCGTCAATGGTAGTGAGTAAAGATTACTACTGTAATCAACACAGTTCCTGTACAGCTGGTAGGCCTCTGCTCATTATTACAATCATTAAATAGCAGAACAGCAGGGCTTTATTACGTTATATTCAGTAGGACGTTAGCTAGTTAGCTAACTAACATCACATTAGGAACAATCCACAGCCGACATTTTTCAGGATTTATTTCAGGTTCTGGAAAGAGAATAAATCGTACTTCTCCTTTCAACCTCTCTGGGTAGCAACTATAACTATTACAAGATGCCCAGGAAGTCTGTTTGACCAGATCTTGGAAAAATACAGCCAAAAAAAAGCTAGAAAACGACTCTTTTTGCATTAGAGTCACTGGAGCGCATCCATGAAAGTGTTGGACCTCAGTTATAGTCCTATACTGCGCTGTGATTGGCCAGCTGTGTATTTGTGGTGTGGCTTACCGAAGGATCAATTCCAAGCCTGTATTGTTGCCTAAATATGTCTGTTGTACTGCATTGTCGTTTTTCTGGTTTGACAGTTGAACATCGACAGACATCATGTATAATTTAGTTAGATCTCTTTCTGACCTGGAAAATAGATGTGTGTCTGTCTGGTCTGGTTGATGTTCTTCTGTTGGACTCTACAGGTGAAGCTGTTGCTTTGTCTCTTCTCCACTGTCACTCTGCTCCTGACAGTATAGAGGTCATCAGGACCTCTGACGTCTCTGTAGGTCCAGCAGGGAGGAGGTTTCCCTCACCGTCCAGCCAAAACACCTCGGGCTCTGGATACCAGCCTTCAGACTCACACTGCAACACCACACTGTTGGGGTTATCTGAGTTAACCTTTATGATGGGCGTGGAGACGGCACCTGAGCATAAGAGAAGAGGAATTTAGAACAGAGGGTTTAGATCAAACACATCAGAAAACTTTTGGGACATCCTCCCTGAATCATTGAATTCAGGTGTTCCAATCACTTCCAGGGCCACAGGTGTATAAAATCAAACACCCAGGCACAGGCCTGGATTAAGAAGTCAGAGGCCCCTGGTCACAATGTCTTGTAGGGCCCCCATCCGCCGACCCCCCCATACACGTGTGCACAATCAACATTTTGAATTATTTGTTGGAAACACCTCTCGTTAATACAGGACAGAATTATTGGCCGATATGAGCTAACTGCATTTAAATTTGTATCTGAGTTTATAACAGAAAAGAAGAGACAGATCTTTCAATCATGTCATGATTGTTGCATAGTTTCACCAGAAGGCACTCTGCAACTGTCCTGTTGATAACAGCACCACAAAACAAAGCAATCAGCTGACCAGAGTCGAGCAGAGCATATAGAACCAATGAGGTATGGGATAAATATCCTGCCATGTTTCAAAACTGAAAACAAAGTTCTGAAAGGTTAAAATTAAGTGTTTGAAAACTCAAAATCTCACCAAAAAAAAAAACAAGTTTTGCAGGCTAGCAAAGTGTTAAAAAAATCTCTGCAAACATTCCTTCTTCAGAACTGCAAAAAATGTTTTTTTACAATGTTGCACAATTTTTTTTTTAGAGTTTCAAATTTGTCACTGTTCTCCCAGTGTATTACTTTGTTTTTGAAACCTTGTAAATGGTGATCCAAAAACTGGTGTGTGAATGTGTGAATGTGTGAAAAAAGTTTTGAAAACCGAGGTTCAAAAGGGCGAAACATTACATTACATTTGACTTATTTTTTCAGAGCTACAACACCCACTTTGGGAAGATATGCCCACACAGTTGCGAGCTTGCAACTCATGTGATTAGTGGCAGCGTTGTCACGCAGCTCTGCTCTGAAACTCTGAAACTCACACTGAGCAAAAATGACGCTTCACAACCTCCCAACTGAAGATAGGGCCTTCTGCTCTTGGCCAATGCGTGGCTTTCTGCTGAAGTACAGTCCAATCACAAGTTATAAAAGACAGGAGCATCTACAGCTTGTTCAGACAGAGGCTGAAATGTAGGCCTACACGAAGAATCAGAAAAAGAAAAAAATACATTTTTTGAACTTTGAATCATGCACAGCTGCAATACAGGAGTCACAGAACTACAATATAGGACTGGAAAAGCAGTTTAATAGGTCTCCTTTAAGCTATGAGGAGAGGGAAAGTCTGCTAGCCGCTAGGCTAATTTATGCTGTGTAGCATGCCATAAGCTTAAAATCAACGGAGACCATCAGACAGACAGATCTCGACAGCTATTAAGCCAAAATATATGCTTTTATTAAATGTGACTGATATTAAACCATGTTTTATGTGTGGTAGTGGAGTCATTTTAAAGTTAACTTTACTGCACTTAACCAGCAACAAACATTTGTGTTGTTTTTTTCTTGGTATGAAGCACAGAAGACGAGGCAGCATGCTGTGGTCATCACTCACACTTCTTCTATATTTCAGTTGCATTGCATGTTTTCTTATTCAACATTTACTGTTCCTGTTTTTCAGAACATTTTAAAAGCTTTCAAAAAGTGATGGAGAGATTCTGATTCTGACTTGTTTTACTCTTAAGTTATAAAATTGGCAACATTACTGTACAGGACGAGGGCCTTGTTTCCTCTGAGGCTTCTGTGCCTTAACTTTAATATGTTCTATTTGTGTGTTTTTAATCAAATACCTTCCACAATCAAACCTTAAATGTCACAAACAGTTTTAAGCATTTCATAAACGGAAAGGAAGTTATTGTCGATTGTTAAACATAATAGTTAAAACATTTCGTAGGGATCACAGCAGATGAAAGAGCATCTTGACTAAGTACTTCCTGGATAATATTGGCTGTTAAATGTTCTTACTTAGAGAATATATAAGCAAGTTATACGAACATGGCATCAGCTTACGAACAATGAAATACAGAGTGATGCATTAAAAGCGGGAGAGGCATTAAAACAATGACATGTAATACTTAATTTGTCCTCTGGGGGGTTGCTGTTCCATGAGAGGAACAAAGAATCCCCTGATTATTTTACTTAAATTTAACTCAATCCTTGGTTCAGAAAATTGGTTTAACACATGATAATATTTCTGTATCATATCATTTCTAAAGATTATATAAAAAGGTGCTGGGAACAAAGCATTAGTTACACAAATTAAATATAGAAAGGACAGCAAGCATTGACGAAGATTAAAACACTGCAAAATTAACTTATTTATGATTCCTTCTTTCCAACAACAACAACATGGTAATATAACTACTCGAATGGAAGTGGAGAGACATTTCTTGTTCCCACAAAGGAATGTAATCTGAGACCTCCCCCCCCCCCCCCCCCCCCTCTCTTTGTTGAGACAAAGACCATTTGGAATCTCCCTTTTTGGCATGAAATAATTAAAACAGCACACTGGCTGGTCCACGGCAAAGGGTTTTAATTTACACACAACAACAGAAAATCTGATCAGGCAGGATTATCTAACATTCCCTGCTTACTCACATTACATCCACCTACTAACAGCATTTGCTGCTATCTGTGACGTAGTCATCGTGAACTAAGCTTCTGACCAGAGCTGGAGCTCGTTATATGAGGCGCATTTGGCTTTCTTCCCTGTTTCATCACACTCTGAAAGGATAAGCAGCTGGACTACAAATGAGCTGTTTTCAGGCAGTTCAGAGCAGAGTTTCCTGTGGGAGATGGGAACTCCCTTTGCCACTTTTCACTTAGCAAACCTTTTACATGCATAAAAAAGGTTTATAACTCTGTAAAGGAAAGGGGAAAAGCCAAAAAGCAGAATATCACCTCTTTAACGATGTTTCGTACCATGTAAGTTACCAACTTAGTTACCTCCGCACTTTGAACTAGGGTTTTGGCAAACAGTTGCTGCATAGTTCTAACCAAGGAAGTTTCTACAGTAGTTAGCAACGATGCTTTTGGGAAAAGCACCCCAGGATCACAAAACAGAACAAACAACAACACAGACAGAGATCCGGATCGTGATATTGCCATTAAATAAATGCATTCGTTTTGATGTGAATAATTACAATGGCATTGATTTTAATCACCTCTTTGGACCAAGTTGTTACAGAAATGGATTCCTTTTTTTTCCCCGCTCAGAAGTCGTGTCTTTTGCTTTCTAACACATCAATGCCTTACAGGAGCGTTTTGCACTGAAATTACCTCCAACAGATGGAAGAAAGACAAGATGGAAAAGCAAAACAGAACAGGTCCTGAAAGACACTCCATCACTGGACTCTTTGTTTGGATGCAGCATCATGGACACCATCCTGGAAACAAAAGTTGTAAAAAACAAAAGCATTATCTGTTTTCATGAAGATGACACAAATAAAACACATCTTTACATAGTGGAACTACTGTTTCTCAACAGGGAAGAAATTTAGGATCCTAGCTTTTCCTTTTGTGTCACGTACTCTTTTCTTTCTGTCTCAGGGATGGTGCTATCTGATTTTTCTGCTCCAGATCTGATGTTACTCCTTGTTTTAAACCGACTGATCCACACTTCACAGACTAAATTGAGGAATCACATTCGTTGTGGCTCACATCTATTCAGACCTCTGATCTTAGTCTCAATGTTACTGACTGCACTCAGAAGGATTCACAAATGTATTTTGTGATTTATAAAACAGTTTCAGTGTAGAAAAAAAAAAATATATATATGGATGTTGTTGTTAAGCCCAAGGACCCAGGCTTTTGGATGCCTTGTAATCCAACTAAAATAAAAACTTTTACCATTTATATAGCCTACCTTTACTAGTGTTGGTCTTAAAATGAGATGTAGTCAAACAGGCAAATTGTTGGCCTATTGCTATCTTGAGGCAGCAGAAAGGGGCGCATTACTCCGACGGCAGGAAGCCTTAAGACACACGTTTACGCACGAGGCACAGCAGCCTGACTTCAACACATCCAAAAGGTCTCACACAGAGTCCAGGTTCATCCAGTGAAACAGTGTGGAGTAAAGCAGCCGTCCTCCTGATCAACCCTGAGCTCCATCAGAGCGTCTAAATTATTACAGAAGCTAAAAGTTGAATTATTTTTCCTCTCGAGAGTTTCCTCTGTCCTGCCATGTCACAGCTTTTTTGTTTTGCTGATTAAATGCCACACGATATATTTAGCTTACTGTGACTTTATTGCACGTTTATAATGACAGGCAGCCTCTCTAATTAAATTAAAGTTAATTGTTAAACAAAACTCTCATACATAAACATACATGCATTTTTGCGGGGGGCGAAAAAATGCAGCGCAATGAGGATCCAGAAGTTTCACAGAGGAGACGGCGTCTGACTTTCTGGGCACAGACTCAAGTCTGCTGTACTGATTAACACAGAGCTGCAGAGGAACATTAGGCTTCATGAACACAGACAGTTTTTATGTCACGTCCACACTTTTGTCCATATCCCCCTCTCTGCTGTTGGTCCGCAATGCAATCAGTGTGGCTGTAAGGGGGAACGGGAGATGACACTGTGATTAATGAGGGCCTAATGCCTCATGCCGTGAATCCACTGACTCACACTCGCACATTAGGCTGCGTCCCGGTTTTGGTGCGTCGACGTCTGGAAGTGTCTCAGAAGCGTTTCAGCAGAGGAGCATGCAGCCTGCCTCACATTATTTCCTTGAAAGTTATGTGTCCTCTTTGTGCTTCTACTAGCCTACCTTCTTCACAGTTTTATGTGACCCCGTTTCGTTCCGCAAACTTCGACTGCATTTCCCACAAGGAGCATTTCAGAATCAGAGCGTTTTTCCTGCCTGATTTTTGTTTTTT